TTTGTTTGATCACGTCATTATAAAATATTGTAATGCTTAAGTTCAAAAATTTATTACAGTGTATAATAAGTAATTTTCAGTCTTAATAAAATATAATAATTTATATAGCCAAGTTGTATGTAAAAGCGCTATACTGTAAATAAGCTTATATTTAAAATAAAATAGAACTTGTAAATTATTTATTTCAAAATAAATATATTACTTAACTTATTTGAAATTGATATCAGATCTTTAACTCTAAAACCTTCATAAAATAATTAAATGAAATAAATCATTCGTTATAGGTACAGAAATATTACATCACTTAGTTATATCTAATTGCTAAATCATATATCATGTTCTTAAAATAACAACTAAGTAATATAAATATGTCTGTATATGTCTTTTACACAAATATTCAGGATTGGCTGATAACCTTAAATAACTTTTATAACCTGTTATGAGTCATTTGGTCATAACAAAAGTTGATATAACTTTATAACCTTTAATATAGTAAGGTTCATAGTAAAAAAGTTTTTTATCAAGATTTGATATGACCGATATGACTTATGACCAAAAAGTTGTATAATTATATGACCAAGGTTATATCGAAAAATGTTATGATCTATATCATTAACCAACACTACAAACATCAGTATCTATAAATAAATTTTACAAAATTTATATATAAATTAAAAGGCAAATATCATAAAATATATCTATTTGATCTTACTATTCTAGCTCTAGCAACTTCAGATTAATATATCTTCATCAAAATTTAAAATTTCTAATGAAATTAAAAAAAGAGGAAATTATAAATCTCGAGTTAAAGCAAAGCTAAACTCACATCTTCTTCTAACAGAAAATAACAAAATTACATTTAATAATTTACTAGAAAAGAGCACATCTAGAGTAATTGAAAAGAAATAGGATTTATCCAATGAAGATCAAGTTGTAGATCGTGATCAATTTCTTCAGAAAAATAATCTTGATATTAACCCTGAAGATGTATAATATAAATGGTCTATCCAATACTTAAGTAAACTATTAATTGTTAAGCAATGCATATGTAGAAGTTATCATGAAAAAGCAGTTACATCTGGTTCTCGAGTCTCAACAGCCTATTATCCCTATGTAGAATGTCTTGTATTTGTTACAATTGCTTTTCGCAATAATGAAATTCAGTTCAGGATATTACCAAATTTGAATACCAATTCTAAAATATTCTACAAAAAATCTTCGAGCAATGATTGGCTTACAATCATGCTTTTTGGCTGAGGTTTTCTGACTTTTTGTACTACTTGTTTGCAAATAGTAACCTTATACATGAAAAGTGGAGAACTCATAGTCTCAAAATCTGTAAAAATTCCAAAAAAATCTCTTTTTTCTAAAGAAATAGATGAGACCTGAAGAAATCTTCAAGATTTCACCTATTTATTTAAAGTTCGTTTGTTTTCTACTTTTTTTTTTTTTTTTTTTTAGCTCAATAACTGAGTGTTTTTGTAGTGTTATATGCTTATTTGGACTTGTGCTATAACTGTTATATATTATAGTTCGGGTTTATTACTTTTGTTAAGATTGGTTCGTAATTGTTTCAGGTGAATTTATAGATAGAATCGATGATAGAAGTTCTTCACTTTTAAATTTTTTTTTTATTCTTATTTTAACGATTTTTTTTTTATTTTTCTAGATATTGGAATTAAGAAATTAGTTGTAATATAGTTTGGGATATATATATTGTTGTATAATCGAATAGAGTTGTTTTTAATTCAATCAAGCATTATTCAAGAATTTTGTTGAAATAATAAATTAGATTATTGATGATATTTCAGAATCTATTGATTATATTTGGATGATTTTTATACCAATTGATTCGTCTCATTAAGACAAGTTGAATGGTATAAAATTCATTCAGATCTGATTAGTAGTCAGTGAGATATCTTCAAATTTGAGATTTGTAAAAAAATATTTATAATAAAATTTTTTACTAAATAAATCGACTTTATGTTTAATAAAGTTATTCATAGCACAGATTTCTATATAATTTTAAAAATTGGGAAATTTTAAATAACTTTTTATTAATCTAATATTCGTGTTATACATTATTAGTTTTTTGATTTTTTGAGGCCACGATCTGATTGGCTGATTAATATGTGATCGAAATATCTAGAAATACCTGATAAGTATTTATATACCAAAAAAGATGCGATTGATACTGTCTATATTTAGTAATATTTTTGACTGAAATTTGTGGCATTGCAGGGTATCTGAAACATTTAAGCAATGTGTAATTTCTCTGCCACAGCATAACCCTCAGTATAAGCTCTTACTATACGTAAGAAAAAGTGTAGAAAATTTATTAAATCTTAATATAAGAACTTCAGATATTCTTGCTAAGAATTGTAAAAAATATCTTTAAAAATTATACCTTAATTAGAAACTCTAGAACACTATTTACTGTAATGGACGTTTCAAATATTAAAAAACAAATACTACAGGCAAATTGGAATATAAATATTAAACATAAAATTGCAAAAAACCTAGATCAGTTTCTTGGACCAAATGCTGACCAATCGGAGCTTAAAGAAGCGTAAGTCATTTAATATGACGAATCATAATGAAATCTAAATCAAAATAAAATTATAATATAAAATCTTGAAAAATAAATTTTTTTGAAGTGCATTTTTTAGAGATAGGGGTTAGAGTTAGGGTTAGTTTTAAAGTAAAGTTATAATAAACAAGTATAAGTGGGTTTTAGAAGGTTAACAAATTAAGTAGAAAATATAAATTTCATTTTAAATTTTACGGCTTCTAAAAATAATCGATTAATATTATCTGGATATGATAGTAAGATCCTAGAATGGTTTTTTACAATCTTTTGCAATAAGATTATTAACTTTTAACTATCTTAGTTATATTTAGTTCCCTTGCTATAATAACTGATGCTAATGTCAAAGAGCAAAAATCATTATCTAAAGTATAGCCAGGAATCATTTTGCTACTTTGTTTCTTTTATATTAGTCAATGCTACAAGAATGAAATTAATAAACATTTAGGTTATGGAGATAAAAATAAAACAATTCTTTTAAAACAAACCTTAAAGTCATTTTTAAAAAGTATTGTTGTGGCTGAAGCTGGAAATGGCTGAAGCTGGAAATTTTAAATATTTTAATATGAAATTTACAAAAAATTTTGGAATGC